ACACATGGCTGGTGAGGATACCCTTGCTGGCTCAGGCAGGGACTGGGACAAATTCGTTACCTGGGCAGCCCTGGCACCCTCTGGGGGTGGAGGGAGCTCAGGGAGGCAGGAAAATCTCCTGTCAAATATGCACCGGTGAAGATGCGCATCCAGGGACCGGAAATCATCGTAGCTCCGGAGAACTGGCCAGGAGCGGCCCTGCGGGGCAATCAGGATAAAGGATAGACTCCATTACACAGAGCTGAGGACTCCTGTGGCTAATCCCTCAGGCTAATGAGAGGCAGAGGCAGCCTCACCTGACAGGTCACCTGTACCCCAAACACCAGCTCATTTTCTCCAGAGAGGCTGGGGCCTTCACGCTCTGGGGACAGCAGGAGCTGCAGGGAGAGCACAAACCAAAGGAAGGGCTTCACTTTTGTCCTAGACCTAACCTCTCTTGGCTGCCACTATCTAGGGGTAGATCTGGCTCCCCCTCTTGGACCTCCCCAAGGACGAGGCCTGGAGGACCTGGGAACAGAGCCCTGGCAGAGCAGATGCCAAACAGAAACTGCTGTACATAGAAGAGTAAATGAAGGATGAGCGCGCAGCCCTCCCAGTGGGCTCAGGCCTCTGATCCTGCAGGTGTCTGCTCAAACATGCAGGTGGCTGGGGCTCAAGGATGAGCATCAGGACAAAGTGGCAGAAGGTCCCTTACCTGAATGTGGCCAAAGTCAACGTTCTCATAGTGAAAATGGGCACAGTCAGCCAGCCGGGGGAAGGGACCTCGAGGAGCTGACAGCCTGGAAGACAAGCAAAGTATCAGCCACAGCTCCCTTCCGAAGCTCCCTCCCTCCTAAGATAAGCCCCCTAGCACCCTCTCACCTCTTCCCTGGCTTCCCCTTTGCACCAGGGCCCCCTGTGGGAGGTACGGGCTGCACTGAGCCCTCCCCTGGGCCATCCAGACTGTCAGTGCTGCGGGCCTACAGAGCAGAAGGAAGAATCAGAGGCCCCCAGAGATGGGAGCAGGAACAACGGAAGCATTGTTATCTGCCAGCTTGGGCCTTGAGCCTGGAGGCTCTGCACGCTGTCCGGCAGCATAGGGTAAAAGGGTAAGTCAATAGGAGATGAGTGCTGGGCTGGAGACCAGCCTGCTTCTTCGTGCATGGTCTGGGATGAAGGACTGGAGGTGCAGGGACCAAGGGTGAACAGGCAGCAGGAGGGAGAGCACGCTGGTCCTATCAGTGTGTGTTTAAGAGCCTTCTCCAGCTCTCAAACCACAGGGTACAATCACTTGCAACTGTCTGGGTCTTCACAGTCCACCCCGCTCCTGTCAGGGTGGTTTTCACAAAGTACAAATGTGACTTTTTGTTTTTCATAGACTCTGCTTCAATGACTCCCATGCATTCTAGATGAAATTGGAATTCTCAGATCTGACAGTCAAGCTTCCTTGAGCTGGTTCTGTTCGCCTGAAGTTTTCAGGACACAAGTGCCACCTTCTCATTTTCCGTCTATGCCATGGCAAAGGCTATTCCTCAGATTGGAACCTAGTTCAGCCATCCTGTCACCGGGCTGTCTCCTCATTCTTCAGGTCTCACCTCATATGCGTGTCCCTCCAGAAAGCCCTCTCTGTCCCTTTACCGTTACACGCATTTGTCTCCATCTCCTCGGCTCCTCCCATCCCAGGCTCCACAGCTAGCTATACCCGAGTTTGTCCATCTCATCCTTAGATCTATGAAGGAAGTCATCTCTCCCATTGGACTCCGACCTCCCCTGAAGCAGGGCCCCATGCTGGGACCCCAAGCATGCCCAACAGAGTTAGGCAGAGTTGGAACTGTTTATTTCTCTCTGGGTCCCTGATATGCAGTGTCAATCCAGTTGCACAGCACATAGCCTAGGCAACATCTGATAACTAAATTAACCCGCTGCCAGATGGGGATTCAGGGATTTGCTAGACTGGGCTTTTCCCTCCTCCGTGTCCCTGCAACCCCGAGTTCATCCCTGGGTCTCACCCTCAGAGTCTGTCCCCTGCCAGCCCATGAAGCTCCCCAAGGCAGGATGTGATCTGATTGTTTCTGTGCCTGGAGCATGGGGCCTGCACAGAGGAGGTCTCAGTGAATGTCTGTGGAGTGAGGGAATGAATGGATGAAGGAACAGGAGGAGTATGGTGGGGAAGGGAGACATGGAGGAGGGGAGATGCAGACAAGGAGATGGAGAAACCCCAAGGCTCAAGTGGAACGGAGGGTAGAGTGAGGCGGGAGAGGATGAGATGAAGGTTCAGATCGATGTCGGAGGGAGGATCGAGAGCGGGTGGAGTGGGGTGAAAATGAAAAAGAAAAGGGTCAGGCGGGGGATGGAGTGGGATCGGGGTGGGGCTCAGGAATGAGAAAGGGGCTGTTGGGAGCAGGAGGTGGTGGTCGGGAGCGTGGCTGGGGATGAGGATGCTGAGGAGGGCGTTGGGATGGGGGCTGGCTTCCAGGAAGCCTCAGCAGGCGCCTGCGGCGGGGGTGGGGGGGCGGCCATGGGGCGCGGGCCCTTCCCTGAACCAGCCCCCTCTTTTCTCAAGTCCGGGTCCTCCGTCACTGTCACCCCTTTTTCAGAGCCCGGGACGGGGGAGGGGCAGGGATGCGCACTGAGGGGGCGGGGTCGAGGCCGAGGCCCGGGCTGCGACCCAGGACCGGACCGAGGTGGGGACCGTGGGGGACCGCGACGGAGGGTGAGGGGCGGCGCGGGCCGCGGGCTCGGGCGGGGCCGGGGGCGGGGCGCGCAGGGCGGGGCCGCGCGGACAGACTGGCACGCGGACAGACAGACTGATGGCCCCGAGGGCCCCTCACCACCATGGTCGCGGTAGCCTCCTCAGACCCTGACGGCTTTCGAGCCCTCGTTCGTAATCCTCGCCGCCGCCGCCATGGTGACACAAAGGGGAGGGCGTGAGGCGCGCGCGGGCGGCCGCAGGCCCCGCCCCTAACGGCTGCCGGGGGCTCTGGCGCGCGCCCCGCGAGGGGCGGGCCAGCGCGCACGCGGAGGCCCTTCTCATTGGCTCCGATCTCGGCCTGAGCGGTAGGTCCCGCCCACAATGCGGCTGCTTATTGGCTTGGGGTGAGGGCCCGCCTCCACAGGCCCCGCCCTCCATCCCCGCCCCCCGAAGTTTGACAGCGCCACGCCCACGGCTGCTTGGCATTGGCCGTCAGCGCCCTCCTGAGACGCAACCCCGTCTTCTTTATGCTCCGCCGATGCCACTTCTCTCCCTAAGCAGCCCGCCGCCCTTTCCCTAGCCCGCCGTCCGCGCTCGCTCCTCGGACGCGCTTCATTGGGTTCTCTCTCGGCCATCCCTCAAGCAGCCTTTTCGAAGTGTGGGTCCTTCATCCCCACCCACAAGCTTTTTGATCTAGCACACCCAGCCTGTGTTCCCACCCTAGGCTCTGTGCGAGTTAGCCTCACCCCATCCACTGGACATTTTCCCTTGTTTCTCCATATTCGCTTATTACAGGCCAGACTCCAGTTTTTGACTCCTTTTTTTCTGGGAAAAGCTCCCATATGGAAGACTCTCAAAAAGCCAGACAGGTTTTTTTTTTTTTTTTTTTTTTTAATACAAACGATAGAGCAGTGTGCCCAGAAAGCATTGCAGCCACACCCACACCCTTTCCTGAAGGATGCTTTCACTGATGAGGACCTGAACAGGAAGGGTCCTCCTCTGTGGAGCACGCCCCTGGTCCATGTGTTCAAAGACTATGATCATTTAATAGGGTCACACCAATACTCAAAACAAGAAAAAAAAATAGTCTCACTGCTAGTCCTCTCTTAACTTGATCAGGATGTTGTTATAAACATCTTTCATTGTTCCTTGTGTCTAAACAGCTACTTTCTTTTTGATTCAATCAAATGTGTGGTTTGTTCAAAAAGGCTGAAAACACATATTTACCTTGTTTCTGTCATAGACATTTCTGATAGGAATTCATCCCATTTCTCTTCATAAATACATATATCAAATCAACCCTGATCATGTAGTCACCATTGTATTTATGAAAAGTTTCTAAGTATGGCAAGTTGACACCCACATATCCACCAGCTAGATCTTATCCATTAACATTTTACTATATTCACTTTATCTCACATCTGCTTACTGCTTTATTCATCCCTCCAAATCATCCTTGGGTGCATTTCAAAGAAAATTAGGCTGGGTATGGTGGCACATACCTGTAATCCCAGCACTTGGGATGTGAAAGAGGAGACTCAGAAGTTCAAAGACAGATTTGGCTACATAGTGAGTTGGAGCCTGGGCAAATATAAGACCCTGTTTCAAAAGACAAACAAACCTTTCATCCATACCATTCTGGAATATGCCTGATTTCATTTTTTAAAAATCAGCATTGGCATCTAAGTATTTCAACATGCATGTTTTTGTTTTGTTTTGAGATAGAGTTTCACTATGTATTCTTGACTGGCCTGGATTTCCCTGTGTACATCAAGTTATTTTTTTTATAATTTATTTAACTTTATTATATGTGCATTGGTATGAAGGTATCAGATCCCCTGGAACTGGAGTTACAGACAGTTGTGAGCTGCCATGTGGGTGCTGGGAGTTGAACTCATAGCCTCTGGAAGAGCAGCCAGTGCTCTTAATCTTTTGTTTTGGTTTTTTGAGACAGAGTGAAACAGTCCTGGCTGTCCTGGAAACTCACTCTGTAGACCCTGCTGCCCTCGAACTGACAGAGATCTGCCTGCCTCCATCTCCTGAGGCTGGGATTAAGGCATGCACCACCACCATCTTGATGTTCCTTAAGACCAGATGACAGTACCTTTTTCTCCCCCTGACCCACAAAATCCACGTCTGAGTTACATGAGTCAGATCCACTTATTACCCAGAACCATGGACTCAGACACACACACATACACACAAAGGAAGTTTTGTTGGTCTGGGGAAGGGGTTACATCCACTTATTAGCACAATCAGTCTTTCTACAACAACCCATTTCTTGGCGATTAACAATAAACTGGAAAAACATTAATTGGAGACAACTTTATTTTGTGTGCCTGTACCTACCCCACAACTTGTGCATGGAGGTCAAAGGACTTTGAATATAGGTTCTTGCTTTCCACCGTGTCTCAGACCCAGGCAGGCTCCATGGGCCAGTTGGCCAGTCAGCAGCTGCCTTTATGTAGATCCTGGAGATCTAAATTCGGGTCTTCATACTTGTAAGTACCTCCCAGTCCAGGAAAACCAGAATTTTTGCAATTCAAAGTCGCCTGGCCTCAAAGGAGGCTCCTTCCCTCCTCAACCGCATTCTTGGGGACCTGGGAGGTGAGCTGGCTAGAGGGGAATAAGATCCTGGGTCTTCAGTGTGGTTCAAGAGGAGAGATAACTGGGCATCCACTTTCCTGGAGAAAAGTCAAGAAGGTAGAGGCTGGGGTGTGTGCCAGAGATAAGAATTTAGGGCTTGGGTAGGATTCAGGAAAGGTGCTTGGAAGAGGCAGACACCCAATAGAGTTCCACGGGACTTAGGGACGCAGGATCGGAGATCCTGATGGAGAACTGTCACCTTTTCTGCTGTCGCAGCTCTGCCCTCTGAGCTCTTAGCACCCGCAACACAGGGTCTTCCTGAAACTCGTTGCCATCCGAGTCTGAGGTGGAAAAGGTTGAGCTTAAGAAGGTGGCTACAGGGTCTGGTACCACCGTCAAGATACCCAAGGGCCCAGGTATCCCCCTCACCTTCGGCAGCCTGCAGAAGTCTTGAGGCCTGGGCAAGCAAGTCCTCAGAGGGGGCGTGGCCTGAGGCAGGCGGAGCCGTGGTCCAGGCATCCCCAGCTCCGGCCTTGGGCGCAGATGTCTTGAATTGAGGCGATCGGACCTCTGACAGTGTGGATGCCTTTGGGGTTGTAGCTGGCTGTGGATCCCTAGATTCAGCTGAGAGGGTGACTTTGCTTTTCCGAAGTACCGACCGGCCGGAGGAGGATTCAGCCACGGCTATGCAGGACGCGGTTTTGGACACCCGCTGAGACTCGGAGAGAGTGGGCGGGCCCTTGGCTTGAGGGGGTGTGGCCTTGACTTTCTGAGAAGCGGCCTCAGAAAGAGGCGGGCTCTCTAGGCAAGGGACCGTGTCTTCCAGGCTGTCGGGGAACAGCCGGGCTGTCACTACCTGGCCCAGGGCACCCCTGAGCTGTGAACAGGGACTCTCGAAAACTGGGCACCCTGGCTCTGTTGTCTCCCGGTGCGATGAAGAGCTGGCCCTCCGAGGTTTGGGATCCAGCTTCTTGGGCTGGGCAGAACTACTCAGCTCATGGTTAGTTGGCTCCTGGGGGGTGTCTGGTGCGGAAGTAGGGGTGGAGGTCCAGGGAGGTGGAATGGAGGCTGGGGGCATTGAGATGGAGACCTGGGGAGCAGGGGTGGGGGCTGGGGCAGCTGGAGTGTTTGTAGGGGGGACTGGGAAGGAAGCCACGGGAGCAACCGGGGAGGCTAGCAGTGTGGTAGGAACCATCCCGAGAGATACCCATGGATTGGCCTGTGGGGCCCAGAGGAACCCGTGAGGGCTGGAGGTCCAGATGTGTGGAGAGGGCCCTGGAGGAGGTGGCCTCTCCACATAGAAGGCCTGTGCGGGAGGAGGCTGGGCCACACTGCCCCATGGTGGAGCACAGTTGGGCTGGGTCCCCAGGGAACCAGGATTCACTGCAGGGACGGGAGGAGTCTGTAAACAGAAAGAGGTATCTGAGGCAGGGAGCAAGAGCTGGAGGGACCTCTGTAGCCTTCAGGTGCCCCTTATCACTGTCAGGCTCTCTCTCCTCCAACTCACCTGAGTGGTGAGGGCTGGGGTCCGAGGCAACACCCAGGTTCCATCACCCTCACCGCCTCGAGCCTGCTCAAGCTTCCGCCTCTGCCGCCACTGGAATAAGATGTCCTCCTCAGGCTGAAGGGTTGCCTGGGAGGAGGCTGGGTGGGGAGCAGGGATGCGGGCCTGGGATGGCACCGGGGCTGCTGTGGGGGGAGGGGAGTAGAGAGGAAAGGGCTGAGGGATCACGGGATGACGCCTGAAGGCCACTCTACTAAAGTTACCACAGACTTGTTCAGACACTCTGCCCAGACATCACCCAACTCCTCTGTGAAATGAGCAGGGCGGGGCAGAGAAAGACTCTTGGAATTCTCTCTCTTACGATTTTGCTTTGTAGCCTGGGCTGGGTTCAAATTAGCAATCCTCCTGCCTCAGCCTGGACTTATAGACAAGTGTCACTATACTCAGTTTGTGATTGCACTTGTATTTTTCCTTATTTGTTTGGATTTCTTCCGTGATTCTTTTGAACTTGGTCACTGACCCACCTCCCCCACCCCTTAACCCCACCCCACCCTACCCCCCACCCCGCTCCAGGTGCTCAGAGAAGCTTCGGGACCCTATTATCATCCCAGAACACAATGTACCTCCCATGCTCAGATGTCTCCACAGCCAGATGCCTCACCAGGCCTCCATGGCCCATGGGACTGACCCTCACCAACTTTTCCACTTAGAGCACACGGCTCTACGGCTCTACCTCTGTCTCCTGCTTTCTCTTACTAGGTATCCCTGACCAGAAGTCACTGAGTACCAGGCTGACCTCCAACTCAGAGATGTGCCGTCTCTGCCTCCCAAGTGCTGAGACAGAAGGCATGCTCTCTGGAACATGTTTCCCTCTGGCTTGTGAGACAGTCTCCCAAGCCTGTGCTGGCCTCCAACTCAGTATGGAGCTGGGATGGACCTTGAGTTATTATCTTCCCGCTGGGGCTGCAGCATGCCCCAGCATTCCCAGCTTCGTGGCTGAAGTTTCCCACCTTCAACAGTTCTCATGCTGTAGCTAAGCTGCACTGATATATGCCGTACAGATGTGGGTTTGGGACAACACCCCAGATCTGAACATACCGAGACCTAGCCAAGCCATGTGGAATTGCCAAATATTCAACTCTCTTTTGGCCTACAAAAAAGTTCCATATGGTTCATTGTGATATTAGCTATACGAAAAGGCTAGATGGGCATAGGGTTGCACTCCTGTAATCCCAGTATTGGGGAGACGGAGGCAGGAGCGCCAAGAATTCAAGGGCAGCTTCAACTACACCTGAGTTCAAGACAGCTTAGGCAGCATAGCAAGACCCTGGTTCAAAAAAAACCAAAGCTAAATCCAATGAAATCTGAATATCTCCCCTAACCTGCGCTAAGCCTTCTGATTTTGGAGCTTCCTGTCCTAATAGCGGGGAGTATGGCAGGCCTGTCACACCTGACAGATACTGCTGTGAAGGGCCTCCCATGTCTCCATGGGCTCAATTCATCTGCACAGTACCTGTGAGTGGAGTCCAATGAATTATTCCTGGTTCCCAGGTAAACAAGATCCAGAGAGGCCAGATTCACACAGCTAGTAAGTGGACAGGATGGGATTTGAACCTGGCTGCCATCAATCCTTACCTCCAGACACAGATACTTTGGGACTAGAACTCCTGTTGGAGTCCGTATTAAAGGCCATAGAGCACGGAGAGATGCCATCGGAGCTGACGGGGAAGGAGGAGCTGCTGGCATCCCTGGGACTGAGAGACGAGGAGGAGAGGGAGGCCTTGCTGTAGGGGGAAGGGACCAGTGAGGAGAGAGATGGCCTGGGCCCTGGGTACCACTGCTGAGGGAGGCGATGGGGACAGGCGTTACCTGCGTTTCAGCAGCCTGGCCGCTCTGCTTTGTAGGCTCAGGGTCTCCAAGTCCAGCAAAGATGAGTTCCAGGTGTTCAGGCTCTGCACAGTGAGAGGGGCCCGAAACTAGTCCCTGTGCCAAGGGCTGCTGGGAAAGCGGCCTATGCCCCAGCTGGTACTTACTCATGGCAGGGAAGCTTACCATTCACTTCCCTACCTTGAGGAAGAGAGGATTACATTCCCTCTTACTTTGTAACCCAGGCTGGCCTTGAACTGTCCATCCTACTATGGCAGACATGCCTGCACTGATGGCTTAGTGAGGAAAATGCTTTCTGTACAGGATTTAGACCTGAGTTGGATCCCTAGAGCCTACACAGAAGTGAAAGAAACAACTCCTGAGGGTTGTTCTCTGACCCACACATATGTGCACGCGCATGCGCGTGCACGCGCGCACACGCACACACTCAGAAGCTCATTCACAGACACACACTACACTTAAAATTTAAAAAGGAAAGACTGAATCCACCTCCCTGACCAGATATGCCTAATCAAAACACTCTACCAAACAGTTCAGTGATTAATACAGAGGCGAGTAAATAAAAGAGACATGGAACCGGAGAGCTGGCTCAGCCCTTAAGATAACCAACTGCCCTTCAAAGGATCTAGATTTAATTCCGCACAAACTGAGCAAATATGCTTTTCCTCCCTGGCTTCTTTCTGTCAAGTGTTTTGGTCGCAGCAACGTGAACATGATGAATAGGCATGCACATCTAATTTTAGAGTTCAAAACTGCACTTAACTAGCAAATCCTTTTGTTACATTTTACCTTATATTAATTTTTTGAGATTGGGTATCATATAGCCCAGGGCAGCCTCAAACTGCATATTTAGCTGAGGGTGACCTTGAACTTTTGATCGGAGATGCTGAGATTAGAGCTGTGTGCCACCAGGCTTGCTTTTATGTGAGCTCAGCTTTCTACCTGCTAAGCAAGCACCATGCCCACAAACCCTTTCAGTGTATGATTCCTTAAGATGGTCATTGTCGCTAATTGTGTGCTGTCAAGCAGGCGCACAAGGGAGGGAGAAGGTAAGAGTGTGTCACCTGTTTTACTTTCTGAAGAGGAGCTGAAGCCAGGGATGCATTGCACATCCCAGTGGGAGATGGACCTGTCATAGTGGATCTTCCTGTATGTTCCGGTTCACCGGCTCCTGCTGGGAAACCTCATGTGAATCACAGAGACCCGAAGGAGTGGCTGCTGGGCATTGAGCAGGAGAGGTTCTAGGTACCTGCTGCGACTTCCGACTTGGGCTGTAGCCACCAAAAGTCAGCGGGGGTGGGGCCGGCAGGCTGGCGTTCCTCCCGGCTTGTGGGCTGAGCTTGGCGGAACCTGTTGATGTACCTGTGAGCATCATAGGGATGAGAAGCAGAGGCAGTGAGGGAACCGCACAGTAACGGAAACTATCACTACAGCAGTAGGCACAGTGCTATCTCTTCTGTTTATCAAGTACCATGGAAAGCTGTGCTCAATGGCCCAGATTAAAAAAATAACTGCTTTTGCCAGTAGTGGTGGCACCCGCCTTTAATCCCAGCACTCGGGGTGAGGGTAGGGTGGGCAGACAGGCAGGTGTCTGAGTTCGAGGCCAGCTTGGTCTACAGAGTTCCAGGACAGCCAGTGCTACACAGAGAAACCCTGTCTTGAAAAACCAACCAACCAATATAAATAAATAAAACAACTGCTTTCTTCAAATCTACCAAACGCAAGCACTGGGCCTTAAATATCCATTTTTCTTTCTTATATAGTAATGCAATTTTAATATTTTTTTTACAGATGGATGCAAACCTGAGCAGGCTTGCTACAGTGCACACATTGAGGTGGGTTTCAGGGATCGACCTCAGGTTGATGGCATATAGCCAGCCCAATTTTAATTTTTTCTTCTCCTTTTTGTTTGTTTGTTTGTTTTGTTTTAGACAGGATTTCTCTGGGTAACCCTGGCTATCCTGGAACTCGCTCTGAGGTCAGACTGGCCTCTTCCTCCTCCTCAGTGCTGGGATTAAAGGTGTGCACCACCACTGGCCAGCCACATGTGCTCTCTTTCACACTTGCTGTGGACAGGGATAGCACACACATCACAGACGGCAACTCTGGGTAGTCAGTTCTCCCTTCCATCTTCACATGGGGTTGCCAGGCTTTTGTGGCAAATGCTTTACCCACTGAGCCCTCTTGCCAGCCCCTTGTTTATGCCCTTGTTCATTTTTACAGAAGGGTTAGGCATACATCACTATGCTTCATTTTATGTGGCTTTGGGGATCAAACCAAGGGCGCTATGCATGCTAGACAGGCTCTCTAACAGTTGAGCTAGGTCCACGGCTGTATTGGTTCTTGACCGACAAACAATAAGAGAGCATGATTCTGGAAAAGGGATGTTAGTGATAACCATTTAGGCCTATGAAGGAAAGGACAACAGCTTAGAGGACAACGATAATTTAGATGGAACCTATGTTCCCAACACCTTAAATAGGGGCTACAATGTCAGCCCTGGTTGCTTCTGTCTGGACCACTAAATGAGGGAGAAATAAATGTTATCACAGTTAGGGCATAATTAATCTAGGACCCTTTGTTACAGATCCAAATACTCATTTTATGATGGGTGTTCTTATAGATTATATAGAGGAACTGAGGATTCAAAACATACTCAGTGCATGTGTGTGATTAATATTCCCAATTCAAGGAAATTGAGACCAAAGCAATACAGAGAGTAAGTTAACAGGGGCAGGATTTAAACCCAGGAAGTGTAGCTCCAGACTCCTCAGTAATACATATAAAGTGCCTGGTCCTGAAAGAGAACTAGATAAACAGCTCTGTCTCTAATGGTTCCCCTCCCCAGGGATTCTGGTACTTACTTGGCTACCACTGAGTCTCCGCTGTCAATCACTGTAAGTGGTGGAGAGGTCCTTTGTCCCTCTGTGCTGAGTGGGGAAGAGGTTCCTGAACTGGATGGCCAAGACACCTCAGACAGCTCAGGGGAATCAGCTGCTGTGGCCTTGGGAGCTTGTGACCTTAGAGATCTGGATGGACCCGGGATTAAATTGGGAGAAAAAGAAGAAAAAGTTAAGTCAAAAGAGTGATCTCTGTGGGGAATGAACACACATATAGGCAGTCTACAAGAGTGGACATCCTGCTGAGTGGTGGTGACTCAGACTTCAATCCCAGCACTCGGGAGGCAGAGGCAGGCAGATCTCTGTGAGTTTGAGGCCAGCCTGGTCTACAGAGCGAGTTCCAGGACAGGTACCAAAAGTACAGAGAAACCCTGTCTTGAAAAACTGTTAGCAGTGGAAAGTTCAGTTACCAGCCTAAGCGGGGCTGTGGTTGGGGATCCAGGTGGTAGAGAGCTGGGAATGGGATTGGCCACCAGCAGTGGGGTAGGAGATTTCTCTTAACCAATCATCCCCATTCGCATCACATGCCTTCCTTCTAGTGCTCACTTCCTGCTATTAGTCCGAGGCACCGAACTCTACTTAAAGCATGTTTTCACCATGGGGCTCCAGTTCTGGCTTCTGGATGCCCAATAGGGTTGTCCACCCTGGGGAACATTTCCAAAGGGTTGTCTTGGGTAGTGAAAACAGACAGGCTATGAAAGAAGCAGAGCATGCTGAGAGCAGAAGCTAACAATTCCCACCGATTACTGGAAGAGATGGACTACAATTCCCATGAATCATTGCTTCACAATCGAGACAGTCCTAGTAGAGGCATGATTCCCATGACCTCCCGAAAGAGACTTAGGGGAACCTAGGAAAGGGTAGTTGGTCATCCTCAACTCTGGATCCTGCCTAGGAGGAGCTTTTGTTATTTATTTGTTTTTGAGACATGGTCTCACTCTGTAGTCATGGTTAACTTTGTACTTGAGGTGATCCTCCTGCTTCAACTTCCTGAGTGCCAGGATTACAGAAGTTTAGGAGAAGCCTTTTAAAATCATAGACTCATGCCAGATATGTGCTGCTCACCTGTAATCCCAGCACTTAAGAGGCTGGGGCGGGAGGATCCAAAGCTCCAGTCCAGATACTGGGGAGATGTCTCAGTGAGTAAAGTGCTTTGTGCACAAACATGTGGCCCTGAGTTCAAATCCACAGAACCCATGCAGAGCCCGATTGCTAGGACAAGTCTGCAATCAGTACTCCTACCCTGAGACGGGAGGTGGACACGGGTGAGTCCCCCAAAAGCTTGTAGGCCAGCTAGCCTGTAGTACCCAGAGGTGAACATCAAAGAGACCCCCGGGCCAACAAGGTGAAAGACGGGGTTGGCACTTGCCTAGCAAGCACAAGCCCTGGGATCAGTCCTCAGCTTCGGAGTGGAGGGGATAGCGTGGAGGGATAGGATGGCAGACAGAGTGAAGGAAGGATGAGGGCAGACACCTGAGGGTCTGATTTCTACACGGTGCACCCACACTTACACACACAAACATGCACTCGCACATGAAGGCTACACAGAGATCGTATCTTAAAACAAGAATAACATAGCTTCATGGTTCCCATTCCAGGCGAATCAGAATGTAGTTAACAGGCTAGATGCTGCATCTTCTCCACGCTATCCAGGCAATTAAAAAGAGAAAAACGTTTATGTATTTTGTATTTTGTGTACGGGTATTTTGCCTATATGTGTCTGTGTACTGTGTGTGCGCAATGCCCTCGAAAGCCAGAAGAGAGCGTCGAGTCCCCTCGAATTAGCACAATTACAGAAGAAACCAGTCATGTGGGTGCTGAGATTCGAACCTGGGGCCTCTGGAAGGCCAGCCACTGTGTCTGAACTCTAAGCCATTTCTCCAGCCTCATCCAGGTAAAATATGGTCTGTTGTACTGTTTTTTTGTTTTTGTTTTTTTGGGGGGGAGTTGTTGTTGTTTTTCGAGACTCTGTGGCTTTGAAGCTGTCCTGGAATTCGCCCTTGTAGACCAGGCTGGCCTCGAACTCAAAAAGATCCGCCTGCTTCTACCTCCCGAGTGCTGGGATTAAAGGCTTGTGAGACTACTGCCCGACCTGTTTTGTATTTTTTTAACTGACACATGTTAATTGTTCAAGTTTATGAGGTATAGTATGATATTTTAACACATGTATGAAAGGTGTTATCAAATCAAGTTAATTATTTAACATCTCATTCATGGAGCTGCAATTAAAACCACGACTAAAAAACAAGTAATTTATTAGCCAAGCGTGGTGGCGCACACCTTTAACCCCAGTACAGGATGCCGAGGCAGGTCCATCTCTGGGTTCACGGCCAGCCTGGTCTACAGTGAGTTCCAAGACAACCAGGGCTACACAGAAAAACCTTATCCCTGACGGCGGGGATTGGAGGGAAGTAAACAGAAAGACAAAAACAAAACAACAACAAAGAACCGGACTAAACCGTACACAGTACATTTCCGGTTAAACCTGTTAAAGGGGGGAGGAACAACGCCCAATGAGGGAACGGGGTAGATGAACTACAATTCCTATGATTCACCGGGCCCCTCCTAAGCGAGAAAGTTCAAAGACAACACGCATGGATGTCTGGGGAAATTTGGAAGCCAACAAACTTAATTTTCAAGTTTCTTGTACATTCCCTTACGGCCACCCAGAGAGAACAAAAGATCTGAGATCGCAGGGATGGGGACGTTTACTGCTGGAGTGCCCACACCTGCGTAGCATCTTGGGAGTTGTAGTACCAGTACGGTTGGGCGGGAAACCCCATGCTCTTGCAAACCCGTTGCCTTCCCCGGGCTTCCTGTGATCTCTGAGAAAGGGACCAACCTCACCTGCAGTCCATCCCGCATTTACCTCAGCGTTAGTGCCAGCTGAGCTCTTTAGCAGGACAGCCGGACGCCTACGAAGCCCCCCTCGCTTAGTAACGCTGTCAGCTCCACCCCTTTGGGAGCCTCCAAAACGACCAATGATAGACTAGAAAATAGAAGTAACTGGAAAAGCGGTCAAAGGGCTGCAACCCTGCTGAGAGCGCGTGTCTGATTGGAGACAGGGAGCGTGCAGCAGTAATTGACAAGACTGTGGACCAATAGAAAGGATCAGAGGCTGGGCTGCCGCTTGGAAGAACGCTAAGCATGTTGGCTTTCACACAGTCCTTTATTTTTCTAACCGCCACAATTGCTGCCTGAGCTAAGTCCCGGTTCCGCCTTAACTACTGTTGCAGGGCTAACCGGGGGCGTCTGTCTTCGCTCTGCCATCGGTTGGGCCGGCAAACCCGTCCTGATGGTCACCTTAACCACTTTCCTCTTGCTACTGAGCAGCTGGTGTCACTCCTTGCCAGGCCCGGGCTCCTGGCCCAAGCAGAGGGATCAAAACGAGCTATTTCTGGCCCCGGCGCGCAGCCCCTGGGGGCCAACCTGGAGTGTCCACGCTCACGCCCCCCTGGCCGCTGAGCACCCGAGGCTGAGTCACAGGCACAGAATTAGGCCCGACCTACTCTGCGGTAGGGTCTGTTCTGTGTCCTCCTGACAGCCTGGCGCGGCTGCAGCATTCTCCAGGAATCTGTAACCAAAACTAGTGCGTCATCCTCACAGTTGCCAGCCTGGTGGAGATGGATTAAGAGGACGGAGCGCTCTTTGGTGGACTTCTCGGGCCCGGGTTCCCAACTGCCACAGTGCTTCGCCACACCTATAAGGGTCTGCCTCCTAAGCCTTAGCTTCCCCCTTCTAGAAATGGAAAAGGCTTAATAATGACAGTGCCGTGGTGTCCTTTTCCAGGCACCCAGCAGGCGTTTACTAACTAGCCAAGTCATTATTGAAGTTTCTAAATAAGGCATGCCAATGGCCGGGTCTGGCCTCAATCCCAGTGTCCCTGGGAGGCCCGCCGCGGGCGCCGCACTGGGCACAGTATAAATCGGAGAGTGCGGGTGTTTGGGCACTGCGGAGCCCAGGGTGGCAGCGGAGGGGCGGAATGGAGATCCCCGTGCCTGTGCAGCCTTCTTGGCTGCGCCGCGCTTCAGCTCCCTTACCGGGTTTTTCTGCTCCGGGACGCCTCTTTGACCAGCGTTTCGGCGAGGGGCTGCTTGAGGCTGAACTGGCCTCACTGTGCCCTGCCACGATCGCCCCCTACTATCTGCGCGCCCCCAGTGTGGCACTGCCCACAGCACAGGTGCCAAGCCTGGGGACAGGGACAGCTCAAGTACTAACAAGACTAGCGGTCTGGTTCGCCCTGGGGTGGGGGTGCGGGAACGTCTGTGGGTTTGGGGGGGGCCTGGGGGGGAGCCACCCTTCAGAGTGGGCCACTGGGAGCCCTCCGAATGTGGCGCTCTGAGAGGTGAGGGAGTGGGGTCTCACAGCTGTGGGGCGGGAGGGTGTGGAAGGACTGGGTCGCTATCTCAGGAGTCCTGGTGACTGAAGGAGGCAGGTGACCCGGGGAATCTCGGAGAAAGGACAGTGAGTCCTGGACGTTGGAATGCGCTTGAGGTAGTGTATGGTGATGTCACATATCCCAGGCGGGTCAGGTGACCTGATGAAGGGTTACTTTAAAGCTGGGGAAGGGTACCTATAAATGCATGACCCGAGAACTCAGGAGATGGGGAAATGGCATCTTGTTTACTAGCGTGGTGAGGAGTAAGAGGTCTCCTGGTAGTGGCGACATGATGGCTGTGTAGACAATGACCCGGGGTGGGAGACAGGGCAGGTACCTAACTTGGTCACCTTATGAACGTGCAGCTCCAGGAGAAGTGGACCCAGTGTCTACAAGGGGAGGGAGGAAGCTAGTTGCTTGTGAATGAGGTTGAGGTTCTGGTGACTCTGAGAAGGGGAGAGGACAGTCTATCCAAGTCCTCAGCTGCAGCACTGGGGGCGGGGGCACTGAGTCCCAGGAGCTAAGCCCCAACCCGATGAAAGTCCCACGCTCGCCCGATGTGTGCAGGTGCCCGCGGACCCTGGGTATTTTTCCGTGCTGCTGGATGTGAAGCATTTCTCACCAGAGGAAATCTCTGTCAAGGTGGTTGGCGGCCATGTGGAGGTCCACGCTCGACATGAGGAGCGCCCGGTAGGCCTGCAGGCCAAATGGGGCAGCAGGGTTGGCTAAGAGGGAGGGACACTCAAGGCCATTTTCTTCTCCAGGATGAACATGGATTCATTGCTCGAGAGTTCCACCGCCGCTACCTCCTGCCTCCAGGTGTGGACCCTGCTGCTGTGACCTCGGCACTGTCTCCCGAGGGTGTCCTGTCCATCCAGGCCACACCAGTATCTGCCCAGGCCCCGCTTCCATCACCACCTGCTGCCAAGTAGGGGTCCCGGCATTACAGGACCGAACCTGAGAAGCCTTTTAAGGCTCCCTTTTAAAAGCCTATCTGACTCCGCTGCCCAGCCAGATGTCCCAATCGCTGTCAAGACAGTCCCTCCCTATCTAGATGCCATCCCCTAGGACCTTTCCACCCAAAACCCTACCTGCGCCTTAGTAACCAAGACACCGTCCCTAAGCCTGACGATCACACCCCCCTGGCTTTCAGGCCCTGCCCATGCACCTCTCTAGGAACAACACAAACACTATTACTACCTTGGCCTGCGCGCCTGCCTGACTGACCCCTTTGGGCTTATCCCACCACCCAGGCCCTCCTACTGTACGTCTACACTGTAGACCGTGGGCACCGTGATTTCAGAGTACAATGTAGATAGTACCTCCTCCGCTCCCGGCCTCACCTAGTTCCCCACAACGACTCGTGAGCTAGCCAGTGTGACCCAGACTACATGGGCCCACAGCAGTACACTCTAGATCCTGTCCCTGCATCCTAACCTTCCTCTGCCCCAGGCCATTTTCTGACTTCAGACTCCAGGAGCCTAAGTTCCTGAATCCTGTTCCTGACTTTCCAATCCTTGGAAGTCTATTCCCAACCAACTAGGACCTCCAAACTCAAACTGCATAGATAGGCCTAACTTTGCCAGATGTGCTAGGCCAATGAACCAGAACCCTCAAGTTCCTTTGTCCTGGCCCTCATCTGCAGCCACCTCCGGTCAGTCACACCTTCATTCCCTGTCACCTCATGCCCTTCCTACAATCAGTCCCCAATAAACGTGCAAGAGATTCATCAGTTGCCTTATGTCTGGGCCAGGAAGGATGGGCTGGCCGGTGTGGGCTGGGAGCAGGTTTATTGGGGTGGGGGAACTGGGAACATCACTGGCGATCATACATCTCCCGCAGGATCTTCATACTTTCTGAATAACGAAGCTGGTTCCGATGAGATGCCTCCTTCCACCTGGGGAGGTAAAGGAGGACTTAGCAACTCTAGAGGGCACAGGACAGGGAGCAAGTGGGACAGGGCACGCTCACCTCTGGCGAATGCGTTTCCAGCGCTGCATGTTGCGATAGATGAGTGTGGAGGGAGAAGGTTCAGGCTCCGAGGGCTGCATGGACAAAAAAGGGCCCAGCTAGGTGGCTATGCCCTGACCTCCCAACACCATGCCCTGAAGCTGCAGGCCAGCCTTGGATACCTACTTCATCATCAGGGGTACCCTGGGTCTCAGGTTGCAACGGGGATGGAATTCGGGATCTGCAGGCATCTCCAGGTGGTCCAGGGGCTATGGGTGGAGGCAGCTTGTACACATCACGACTTTTGCTGTTAATGACCTCTGAACCCTAGGGAGACCAAGCCCCATTGTGAGGCCCAAGAGTCAGAGCAGAGGGCTGAAAGTGCTCGTCATCCCTACCTTTCCCAGGAACACAGACATGTGGGTCTGCCCAGAACCCTGCACTTGCAGGGGTCACAGCAGAGGGACACACACCTTTACCAGCTAGAGGATGGTCTTCCTGTTCTAGGGACCGGGTCTTCCCGTCAGTCTGAGAACCCTTGTCTACCCTTGCCAAGCCCAGGGAATTCCATCTATACCTGTCAGCCCCAGGTGGGGATCAAGATGCCTGCCTTAAAGTGTTGTCCAGGGGGGTGTCACGTCTATTTTTATCTTGACAGAGTCAAGTCATGTGGTTGTCCTGTGGATCCCTGACTATCCTCCAGATGACTTCCAACCCCCATTACCCTCCACCCAGCTCACAGGGTCCACATTTGCTCACCAATGCCCCATCTGGTAGCCACATCTGTTTGCATAAAGATCCCTGTTTAGCCCCTTATTTCTTGGAAGTCCTGTTCCCTAGGGAGGCATACCTTTCTGGTCTAAGGACCTCTGTCAACATTTCTCACCTAATGACACCCAGCTGTGTGTCCTACCTGCCTCTCTATTCATTTAGGGGGCCCAGAGATTATAGCTATCTACCACTAATGGGGGGGTGTTCTTGAGCCTACCCACCCACTGCTCTCTCTGGCCTCTGGGGCAGGACCCATCACTCATCCCACCTCCTCATCCTCAGGCAGAGGGGGCAGCGGTGAGCTGGGTGACCGCTCCCGCTCTCGCACTGAGGGACTGTTGCGCATCCAGGCACGGCAGATGGGATACAATGGTGTGTTCTCACTGAACTGGGCCAAATCCACACTCCGGTCAAACAGCTTGATCACATATGTGTCTGGGATGGTGAGGTGGGACAGAAATGAGCACCCTTAGTTAGCCCCTGGTTCCACGCCCACCCTCTCGGGCCCCTGCCTACTCACTGGATCTCTGAGGAACCCCCTCAGCCAGCCCATCGTCCATCTCCCTCCTCTTCTTCCTCCGCTGGTGGGGGAAGCGGGCAGATGGCCTGTGTGATGAAGATGCCTGTCAGACCCAGAGCTGGGGCCCAGAACCTTCGAGTGGGCAGGGGTCCCAGTCAGCTTACCTTTTGCCAGCAGCAGCGATGGAGCAATCCCTGCACGGAGAGACAGGGTATCAGCAGGCTGAGCCTTTAATAGACACCTGCTCAACACCCCTACCCCAAGGCCGAGGTGATGCAGTTCAGTAATAGAGCATTTGCACAGCATGGGCAAAAAGCCCTGGGGTTCAATCCCTAGCACTGGAAACAAAACAAAAAATGGACATCCTGGGGTTTACTGGTCCCCTCGGGCCTTGTATCTCATGAACACTCAAGGTGTTAGCCACTCACTCCATATGAGATGGTTAGGGCTCGGAGGAGGGAAATGTTACCTAACCCAAACTTTTGGGTCTTAATCCTATCAAAACCTCTTACTTGTTGTGTGTATCTGAGGGTGTTTTCCCAGCATCTTCATCCAGACGTTCCCTGGAAGCAAAAAGAAGCACTATTGGCTTGGGGTACCAAGGGCCCAGCGTTTGATGATAATGAGTAGTCTCCTCCCTGAGTCAGCCTCCAGCCTCCCATCACAATCAGAGAGTCCAAACACAGTTCCCACCCTTGTGGTCCCCCAGGCTGGACCAGACCCCACCTGTCCATGTGACTCTTCTCCAGCAGACACTGAAGAACGGCATCCAGCTGGTTCCGGGCTTTGGCCATCTCCATCTCTGAGGGCAGAAGGTATAATGTAGGTCAGTTCTATGTAAACATCCCACATCCTCCGTGGGAGGCAATCCTCCGGTCTGGTCCAGGTACACGCAAAGCAGTAGAGACGGGATGAAGACAGAACTGGGCAACTGAGCCTCAGGCAGGGGTCAAGAGTGAAGCGGCTACCACGGCCCCACCTTGTCAGCTTCTCTGCCATCACAACACCAACTTAAGAATGCATGATCTGGATCTTTCCACTGGGTCCTATGCTAGGTCTCATTTGCTCTCTACACCTACTCTCCCCCACTTCCCCAATTCCCACCATGAAGAGTGATCCACCAATCCACAGGCTCCTGGACTCACCAAGGTATGCCTTTCCCTCCCTGGTCTCAGCCCACTTGGCTTCCTCAGTGTCTGCCCATGCATTCCCTCCCCATCTTGCCCTTTCCTCCACTCAGCTCCCAGCCTCATTCTCCCCTTCTGAACCACTTTCCACAATGTGCACAAGAGAACCTCCCTAAAAGAAAGGCATGCATAGCCGTACTGGCATATGTCTGCTCTCCCAGCACTCTGGAGGCTGAGGCAGGAGGATCAAGAGTTCAAGGCCAGCCTCAGCTACGTGAGACCCTGTCTCAGATCATAAGCAAAACAGCGAAATAATAAAAACAACCAACCTGGCTTTGATCTTCCCCAGCATGGAACCAACCCTTCAGGATTCCACAATTCTGACCCCCCCCCCCCCCCCCCGTGTTTCCAAGCTCACCTTTGTCCCACCTGCGTATCTGTGGCAAGGCTCCTTCCACTTATACAAATATATAGTTTCCCTCACTAGGTATGGCTTGAAATTTGCTAAATAGACCAAAATGGCCTCGAATTCAGAGATCTGTCTGCTTCTGCCTTCCATGGAATTAAAGGCATCTGCCAACATAAACGGCCCGCCTTCACTATTCTACTCAAGTTTTGTTGTTGCTGGACTGTAGGTAGGGTTTTCATTTGGTTTGGGTCTTTTGGCATTTTGTGGTATACCTTTACTAACTCACTCCTCAGTTCAAAAACCTCCTTAGACTACACATTTCCCTCAGAGGAAAAGTCAAAAGTCCCTTCCTGGATGCACAGACCTGCCCCCCAACCCTATCACCTCTTTCCCTCCAACTCTTCACCGGCATGCTCACCCTAGCGCCCCCCCGCCACCCTAGGGCCCCCCCCCGTCACCCTAGCGCCCCCCCCCCCCCGCCACCCTAGCCCTCCCCCACAGCCACCTTGGTTTCACAGGCTAGTCCCTCACATGTCCACTCCCAATCGCCATTTCTCCCCAGCTTGTGTATTTTCCCCATCTCGCGCGCGCGCGCACGCACCTGAGTGTGTGTGTGTGTGTGTGTGTGTGTGTGTGTGTGTGTGTCTCGTGATGCCCAGGAAGACCCTGATATCCTGGGATCCAGACATTGTCTTTTTGATTAGCTGTGACTACAGGGTCTAGCCCCACCAGGGTCTGGTTTTACTCATTTTTCAGGGCTGAGGATAGAATCCATAGAATTGCACCTATATCCCCCATCTTGTTTTAGGTAACACTTATCCCATTTAACACCTCGCGTCATTATTTACTACTGACCACCTTTTTTTTTTTTCTGGATTCTGTATTCCCTCCTCACTGCCTGTTACCATGTCATTCTAGGGTTTCTCTTTGGTTCTGCATGAGCCTCCGTTTTCTCATCCATCACACTTCCTAGGTTATTGGAATACAGCAATTGAGAATTGATTGCCTCTACCTCAGGGCCACACCACAATTGCTGACTCATGACCACTGCCAGAAATGGGAAAACTGAGGTAGAACAAGAAAAGGACCCTTCTTAGAATTAGGGGTTACTACCACCACAGAGCCGGAACCACGACCATTCAGTGTCAAAGCTACTCTGAACACAGCCCGGGATGGTTTGAAGGTGGCCATGCTCCATGCAACTGTCAGATGGGCTGCAGAGAGATGTCACATAGTTCGCTTTTTGGCGATAATCCGTATCTCTCGGATACCCTGGACCCCCAGTCCTCACCTGATTTCTCCACTTTTACCTTCACCGGGAACATGGTCTGGGTCCAGGTCTAATTCGCTGGATCGGAAAAACCTAGCTGCAGGATCCACAAGCCCCGGCGGGAGGCAGGCAGGAAAAGGTCAAAGGTAAGTCTGGGTACCACTGCTCCTCGGGCCTGAGCACCGTCTAGCCGCGACTGCCGGCCGCCACTTCCCTTCTCTCCCTTCTGTAGGCGGGCCCTTCGGCAGCCGCTATTTCCCATTAGCCAATGAGAACGTCAATTTCATTCGCGGGCCAATCGCCAGCCTGTGCTATTGGCTCTCCAGTTTAAGTTCCACCTTCCCGAGGCCCTGTTTCCGGAAACAAACCAACGACAACCCAGGCAACTGGGGAGTGGGTGTCGTGTAATTCAAACTTCCAGGCTCAACAAGGCCGCGCGGAGCACTGTGGGAAACAAAAGGGCAAGGCTTCTCGGGATTCGTAGTGTTACATTTTAGTATGGTCAATACAGCCATTTATAGCGTTGTCACCGAGATCCCTAACAGGAAGACCAGTCTGGAGTGGGGCTGGCTCCTTTCTTACGGAGAGCTCACTAGGTATCAATGACCTGCTGCTGTCTTTTTTTTTTAGCAAAATCTCTTTCATTTAAATATTAAGAGTGCTGGATATTCATCCAGATATAGAGGACACTGCAATGAACAAAACAGGCAATATTGCCTTGCCCTAATGTGACTTAATTTGTAGAGAATATAAGATAATAAGTAAGCCAAAAATTCTAAGAGAAATGTAATAGGAACAAAAAATGTGCCCTTAAATAGTGATAGGGAACATCGACTCAGGAACTAAGATTTTATTGTATCATTATTTATTTACTGCCTCTCTGGTTCAATCTAGCCTGAAACTGTATGTACCCAATCTGGCTTTGAACAATACCACACTTTGCTGGGTGGTTTGTTTGTTTGTTATTGGGGGTTGGGAATGGGAAGGGGCATACATGTATACACCTGTAGAGGTCAGAGGTCCACTTACAAGATTTGGGAATCAAACTCAGGCCGGGACTGGCAGCAAGTGCCCCTATCCACTGAGTCACCTCCACAGACCTTCTGCTGAAATCGTATTTTATTGTTTTGGGACAGGGTATCAGCATATAGCCCTGGCTTCCCGGGAATTCACAGAAATCCCCATGCCTCTGCTTCCCAAGTGCTCGGATTATATACATGAGCCACCAAAATCATGAAATTTTAAATCGGAAGATCAAGGGGCCAGAGACAGGGCTCACTGGTTAAGCTCAGTGGAGGGGACCCAGGTGTGATTCCCAGCACCTACATGGTAACTCACAACCATCTGCAAGTGCAGTTCCAGAGGCTAAGATGCCCTCTTCTGGCTTCCATGGGCACCCGCATTCATATGTATACACACACACACACACACACACACACACAGAGGCACGCACGCACGCACGCACGAAAGCAAAGAATAAAAAACAGGGAAGTCAAGGAAGCTTTTCTAAGAAAGCTCTTAGATATTTCCCTTGTAGACACCGCCAGAGTCTTGGCTCAGATGAGTTCTTCCTTGGCAGACAATACTAAGTCACAGAACAAGCTTTTTGTCCTGCTGGGAATTGAATCTAGCATCTTTCTCAGGCTGAACAAGTGCACTACCAGAAGAAAGTTGAGGTTTTTTTGTTTGTTTGTTTGTTTTTTTTTTTTTTTGCCCCCTTCCCCCTCTCCTCACCCACCAGGGTTTTCTCTTTGTTAACAGTCTTGACTAGAACTTAGTCTGCTGGCCCCAAACTCACAGAGATTCCTCTGCCTCTGCCTCCCTGGTGCTGGGATGAAACATGTGAACCACTACCGCTCAGCTGAGAAAGTCATTATTTGTAAAATCACAACTACCAGGATAGCAGCCCCTAGACATGGCAGAGTCATACCATACCTTTCTACTTTATCTGTCAGACAGGTTTCCTAAGGAGGCAAGTTCTTATTCCAGAAGGGTCTGAGTGGTAGTCAATGAGATAAAAATCCGTAGCATGTACGAAGCACCAAGCCTAACATATAACACATTTCAGTGTTTTTGAATACTGGCAATAATTTTATGCTTCTACCTCCCAAAGATCCCAAGAAGTAAAAATGTAAAGTTAGGGTCATTTATTGGAGCAGATGGGAAATGGGTGACAGACAGTCTTCAGGGTTTGAGGAAAAACAGAGAAGCCCATCCTGGGAGAAAAAACGCTGATCATCACTATCTTGTGATGCTGTCAGGGAGTGCCCAGGGGAATGGTGAAGGAGAGGTAGTCCCCAAGAGCGCCCCAGCGGGGCCGGTAGATCTGGAAGATGGTGATCCAGGTGGTGAGGACAATCACCCAGAAGAGGAGGCCCACAGCTGAGCGCCAAACATCTGTAACGAAATACAAGGATGCTTGGGGAGAGTTGGCCCCTGCCAGGCCGGCCCTTTACCTCTGCTACTGATCTCCCAGAGGTCTGGAGCCCCCATCAACCTTCCAACCACCCCTGGCCTGTTATTTATTTATTTGCTGGTGCCCTAGAACTCACAGCCTTTGATCTGGCTCTGCTCTGTGTAGGATGGGACGAGGAAGGCCTCTCTGAAGAACCAGAAAATGTTGACCAACCAAAGAAAAGGCAGGAACGCAAATCCACCTAGGGAAAAACACCCGCACTTGGCCAACCGGCAATGAGGACCTGTCCTGATCCCCACCTTGGAAGGTCCTCTCCCACGTTCCACTGGAGATCTCCGCTGCTAGGGGTTTGGGGCGTATGGCTCTCGTCCACGGCCCCAGGGATGCCTTCTCTGGACCCAGGTCTTCATCCTTTCTCTCTTGGGACTCAGAAACTGAGGCCCTCAGTTTGCTCCTTCCCGAGGCCGCTCTTCTCGAGAACCAGGGTCTATGTTTCCAGTTGCGTTACCCCTTAGACCGTGGAATCCAGGTCCCTACGTCCTCCAGCCTCGGGGCGCTCCAGTCCAGTCCCCTCTACCACCCGAAACGCTAGGGGGATCGGCCTTACCAAGATAGTACTTCCGGCACAGGTTCAACTTCTCCTCATTGGACACTCGCTCCAAGTTCATAGCTGCGCTGGAGCCCGGTGGTCCTCAGGGTCTGCAGATCAAGACCCAACTGACGGGCGCAAGATCACGGAGAGCCACGCCCCTATCAGGGCAAATTAGTTAAAGGAGGGTTTGCTGCGAGAGCGGCTCCTCCGCTCCCTCCAACAGGCTGGTGCGGCCAAGTTCCTTATCTAGTGAGGGTGTGAGGCGACTCCCAACTCACCAGTGGAGTTTATGCCTTCCGCCCGGGATTCCTTCGCCGTGTTTAACTATGGACGATTGCGGAAGACGCCGAAGGTTTCTGTGGAGTTTGCAGTCTTCTGTTTTTTGTTTTTTTTTTTTTTTTTTTTTAATTTCCCCTGGAGGCTACATTGTGCGCATGCGCTGCTAGGGACCTCGCGCAAGCTGGCCTCCAGCACGCGTGCGCAGTCGCGCCACAGGCAGGGACAAACTACACTTCCCAACGCTCCTGAACAACGGAAGTGACGCGGGAGCAGGCGCGTTGGAGTGTTCGGGTAAAAATGGCTGAATATTTAGCTTCGATATTCGGGACTGAGAAGGACAAGTGAGAATGGTGAAGGGAGTGGCCTCTCAGGGAGCCGGGGCGCTTGGATCCCTATGGGCTGGGCGGGCAGGGCAGTGTTCGTGGGATGCCCGGCGTCCCCGGCCCACGGTTTACCTCTGTCTTTGCACCTCTTCCAGGGTTAACTGCTCTTTTTACTTTAAGATTGGGGCCTGCCGGCACGGGGACCGGTGCTCCCGACTTCACAACAAACCGACTTTCAGCCAGGTGAGACCCCGAGTCCTGCTTCCCCGCGCAGCAGCTGCTGCCCATCATCCCCGGGGTCCCGCCCCTTCCGGATTCCTAAAGCCAATCCTACCCCTTTTGCTTTCTGACCTGGCCCTCTGGGTAGACCCTTCTCGCTGGGCCTGGGCCACGCCTCCCATGTGCACAGACCACGCCCCTTGGCTGTCCAGGTGGGGTTTTTTGTTTTTTTTTTGTTTGTTTGTTTTTAGGAGCAGGCATCTCTGACGACCTCCAGGGGTTCACGTCTCACTCCCCAGCCTCACACCCACTCTGCATGCTGCAGCCCTGCCTTCTGAGCTCAGGTCTCTTTTAAATTTCGTTCAGACCATAGTGCTGCTCAACTTGTACCGGAATCCACAGAACACAGCCCAAACTGCAGATGGATCCCACTGTGAGTAAGAAACCAGACAGTTCGGGGGCTGGGCAGACAGCCCCCGGCCCGGGAGTCTGCGCCCTCATTTCACCCTCTGTCCCGCCTCCAGGTCATGTGAGCGACGTGGAGGTGCAAGAGCACTATGACAACTTCTTCGAGGTGAGCGTTGCAGGGTAGCTGGGTTTCCTGTGTGCCAGACCTTAGCTGAGCCTCTGTCCGTCTTCTGCAGGAGGTATTCACAGAGCTTCAGGAGAAGTATGGAGAGATTGAAGAGATGAATGTGTGTGACAACCTTGGGGACCACCTCGTGGGCAATGTCTATGTTAAGGTGCCTGTTGCCCCCTGCTTAGACTCCAGAAGGAAACTTTTCAGTGCCTGATGGCCACCACTGAAACCTCACAACCTGAGGACTATCGCTAAGTCGAGACCAGCCTCAGAGCTGACTAGTCCCCTGAAGATCTTGAATTCCACAGCCCACGGTCACCTACTTTCCCCTCAGTTCCGCCGGGAGGAGGATGCAGAGCGGGCTGTGGCTGAACTCAATAACCGCTGGTTCAACGGGCAGGCCGTGCATGCTGAGCTGTCTCCTGTCACCGACTTCCGAGAGTCGTGCTGCCGTCAGTATGAGATGGGGTATGGCAGTCGAAGAGCGGGCTGGGCATCAGGGCTCCAGGTGCTTGCATGTTTGCTAGGAGGTTGTCACTAATAACGGCCTCTTCCATCTGTCCTTAGGGAATGTACCCGAGGTGGCTTCTGCAACTTTATGCACCTACGACCCATATCCCGCAACCTGCGCCGGCAGCTCTATGGGCGAGGACCCAGGCATAGGTACCTAGGGTCCAGCTTGCCAGGTTCCCCTCTACCCTGAGATGAATCGGATTCTGACTTTTCAGGGCATACCATTCCAAGGCTTTTGAGCCCTTCCTGGAATGCAGTACCTTAGTCTTAGTGTCCCAAACAGTATGAACCCCAAACCCAAGACCAGCCTGAATACCCACCCCTGAGTACCACTCCTGAAATGACATTTAACAACCATCCTGCCCCTAACTATTCCTATTCTCTGTCCACTCCTCTCGCCACTTCCCAGGTCACCCCCAAGATCCCATACAGGCCACCGTCCCCGAGAAAGGAACCGACGCCGTTCCCCAGACCACCGGCATGGTCGCTTCTAAGACTGGTGCTCTTGGCCATCACCCACGGGCAGGGACGTTCCTGAGCAGGACCCCTTCTCAAAGCATTCTTCACGCTCCAGCTCCATCATCTCCGGGCTTCAGAGCTTCATGATATAATCTGTTCAACAGAGGAACTTCCTCCTCCCACCCCTCCCCTAATAAAGCTTATGGGAAGTTTGTCTAACTGAGGTCTGTGGTTTCCTTCCACCCCCACATCTAAGAAAAGGTGCATGCCCCCCATGAGCTCAGTAGAGCAACTTGGAACCAGCTGTGAAAGGAGGCTTGGTGTATGGGTCTGTACACAAACCGTAGGTTGTCCATTCTAGGTGCCTTTCAGGGATAGCCGTCTGTTTGTGGTGGGTTGGAGGATTCCTAACAGATGGGGATTAGAAAAGGAGTCGGGGAGAGGTGGCTCAGGACCTGTGAGTCTGCAGGTTAGACCTGGACAATGAATCCTACCACAACACCCTGAGATGAAGGCACCAGTACCTAACCCTTACAAAGTTCTAGGTACTGTGGTGTTTGGGTGGTTTGTGGTTTAATTGGCTTTTGAAGCAGGGTCTCACTATGTAACTGGCCTGGCTGGCCTGAAACTCTATGTAGACCATGCTGGTCTCAGACTCAGAGATCCTCCTGCCTTTACCTTCCAAGTGCTGGAATTAAAGGTATGTGCACTACATCTGACTACTGTGATGTTTTTAGATTCATTGACACACACAGGCACGCTTTCTCCTAGTGAGACAAGTTCCCTTACCCGATCCTGGAGACGAAAATGAGAAGGCAGGTATGTGAGGACAGATAATACCGACGAGCCACATCAAGCTCTTTGTAGACCTGGTGGGCCCGGAGTTGGGTAGGGGGCACACCAGCTCCCGAAGAGGCCCTGGAATTCTACATGCCCACACCCGCCACTTCCTTCTGCCCTGGATTTCCTGGAAAGTGCTGCAAAAGCGGTGTGGGTGGAAGGTCACAGCCCTCAGGTTGCAGGCTCTGCTGAGGTGGGGCCCAGATGTCTTCTGGACAGCCCCGGTGCTGCTTCTGACTCAGGCTGCTCCATGGCCACAGTGGTGAGTCTCCTGCCTGTCCTGGTGAGCACTAGATGGTGTAGAGATAAGGGGAGCTAGGAAGTGGCTGGGCCTGGCAGCAGGACTTGTTTGTAGCGGGTAGATTAAGCCCAAGCAGAAAGGATAGGTTAGGACAAGACAAAGAGCTAGTTTTATCTGGGAGTGGTGGAATACTGAAAGAGCTTAGGTAGATTTTACAGTGTGGTCAGGGCTTAGAGTGGGCGGGGGTGGGGTGGACTCCTGCGGATTTAAAGAGGAATGGCCTACTAGCATTGGAGGGAAGGCCTGTGCTCAGATGTATCTCTGGAGCCCATGTCTCCCACTAGACTACGAGCTTATGGAAAACTGCAGACTCAATGACTGTAGCACATCCTTTCTAGAAGTGTTCTTCTGGGTATTGCAACCCCAGTGGCACAGACTGTGTAGCCCCCTGCAGCAGCGTCGCCACAAGCCCCACACACATGGAGAGCCACAGTAGAACCCAGGAGCAATGTAGAAAGATGCTTGACTCCTGGGCTCTGGGCCAGGGCTTGCCTGAGGTGATGTGAGCTGCTGTGGGCTCCGTGGGCAAAGCTTGGGTCAATGGGGGAGCCTCTCTGAAGGGAATGGAGGAGTGCCTTAAAGTGTGTGGGGGAGGCAGATGTAGTTCCATTTAAGGACCTACTGGTGGGAGGCTTGAGCTAATGGGCCCTCATCCCACTCTCAAACCTCTCCTCAGAAGCCCACCCCTCCCAGAAATGTCTGTTCTTTGAGAGCTGAAGAAGCAAGAGTCTCTCTCTAGCTCCCCAGGGTAGCCAACCAAGAATGAGGTCTCCAGGCCAGGCTTTGCCCCGTCCTCAGCGCTGCCCCTGCTCCTGGTGCTGCTCCGCATCTTGGCAGTGGTCTTGCTCTCTTTGTTGAATCCCTGTCCCAGCTTGGCTTTTGGAGACAGCAGCATCTCCGTGCACACTGGCCCCCTGGAGGCACTGGCAAGTAGGGACACTGGACAAACACCTCTACTGCAGCTCTCAAGCTGGGGTCAGTAGGGGACAGCTCTGCCAGGAGGAAGATGGCCTGGAAACTCGTTCCCTGGCCTCCTGAATGACCTGGAAGTTCCGGAGGAACTGATTATGCTGCTAGATCTTGAGCCTGGGCCTGGCAGGAACATGGCCTATGGCACTACGTGACACCTGGCTGCAAGATACGGGCCGCCTGCCACTCGGTCTACCTTTGCCTCCTCACTGCGGCCCAATTGCTCACCCCTGAGAACCCTGATTGAGATGGAGGTGGCAAGGAAGCCATCTGCTTGGACAGATCTGTGGGACAGCTTGGCATACACCTGGACCTGCTAGGGCGGGCAGGTGCACTGCAGGTGCTATCCAAGCTTGGCTAAGTCAGGGTTTGCTGGGGCTTACTACTCTATCAATAAAAGCTCCCTTGAAGCCAGTGGCTGCTGTCTGTCCTCATTAAAGGGGTCCTCTTGAAGTATAATCCTGATGGGGCCCCAAGCCAACAGACATCCTTTTTTCCTAGAAAACGTCCATTCCAATATGAACAGGACCACACGTTCTCCCTAGCCACTCTTGGAGTCACTCACCTCTCTGCACTCAACTTGTGCAAGAAGATAGAAACTAGCACGCTTGCTGACATCTCCACAGACCCTGATTTTGAGGCTGCATCCCATACAGTCCAAGCTGGCCTTGAATCCCATGACTTTTTATATGGTACCGTGGATCTCATACATGATATGCAAGTATCAACAAAGTTTTATTTCTAGCTTTGCCCCTCTAATCTGGACTGGTGGCCTCACTAGCCACTGTGGCCTCCTTGGTTATAACCATGTGTCAACTGGGAGCTTCCACCGGTTTCCAGCACCATACAAATACTAGGGCCGGCAAGATGGCTCAGTGGATAAAATGGCTCAGCACACAAGCCTGTCGACCTCTAATGGCATGAGATAGCACATGCGCACTAGTATGTATGCCCACACACAACAAACACAATAATAAAATCAGGGAAAGACCACCTCTCCAAACATTGACAGACTTTATTGTGGGGGGGGGGAGGATTCCCACCTGGGACCCCCACCCTCTTAAATAAAAAAGTGCATAGAAAAGAAGGGATTTAGAAACCTTTGTACAATATCTACAACCTGGGTCCCCAGGGCAGGAAGGAGGCGATGGCTGGGTGGGCTGGAGGCAGGGCTCTTGCCCCTACATGCCCACATCCACCATGAACACGGGGGTGGGAGGGAGACACTGAGAGACTAGGGAGCCACAGGCCAGGGTGAGATGGCAGCGGGCACATGAGGGTCTGGGGCAGCCACGCCTCAGTTAAGGAAGCGACGGCAGCGCTTGGCGCCACAGTTGCAGGGCAGCTTGTTGCTGGCATCCTCGATGGGAAACTTGTAGTCATAGGTGAGCTCCTCACCTCGCAGGATGCGGCGCAGGGCAAAGATGACAATGTGTTTCTGGCCTTCCACATGGATGACGCGAGAGAAGCAGTTGGGCTCGCATGAGTGGTTGATGAAGCGGGCAGCATTGCCGTGCATGGTGGCATCCACCACATCAAAGTCATCCATGCGGAACATGTAGCACCCAATACCCTACGGGATGGGACGAAGGAGTCAGCTCTCGTCCCTGCAGGTTGGCCCACACCCACTCACCGCATACCCTTATGCACGCACTTACCTTTCCATCATAGAATTTCTCTCGCTTGTCCGTCAGCACAGAGCGAATGACAATGCCAGAGTATTCAATGACCATCTCCCCAGCATCGATGTTGCGCTTACAGAACAGGCCTCGTCCATGGATAGCTGACCTACAGGGCACAATGTGACATGGGGGGTTCAGGGGGCAGGGAGGACAGACACCAGGCAGCTCTCCAACATGGCATATATCCACCCACCCAAGGAGCATCCCCCTCAACCCCACTAACCAGGCATACATCCATCCACCAAGGAGCATCCCCCTCAAGCCCACTAACCAGGCATACATCCATCCACCAAGGAGCATCCCCCTCAAGCCCACTAACCAGGCATACATCCATCCACCAAGGAGCATCCCCCTCAACCCCACTAACCAGGCATACATCCATCCACCAAGGAGCATCCCCCTCAACCCCACTAACCAGGCATACATCCATCCACCAAGGAGCATCCCCCTCAACCCCACTAACCAGGCATACATCCATCCACCAAGGAGCATCCCCCTCAACCCCACTAACCTGTAAACACCCACAGCCTCTTTGGATGTCTTTTTGAGATGGCGAAAGCGCATGGCCATGGGAAGCTCCAGGCTGGTAGCACGTCTGGTGGGGGAGAGCAGTACCACCCAAGTTGGTGTCCGGGAGGAATACCCTCTTTAGGACCCTCTCAGACCAGGCCCAGTACTCCAATTTGCTCTGCATACCTGGTGGATCGAAGCTGCACCTCATCCTCTTCTTCATCACAGGTGGCCCCCTCAGGGAGCACCCGATGCTGGGAAGCCAGGAAGTTGAACATGTCAAAGGTACACTTCCTGTAAGTGGGAGGAAGATAGGAGGGTCACAGCCACTCCTCCAAAGAGATGCTTCCTAGTCATTTTTTGATCTGGGCCAGTATTGCTAAGGACTATAGGACTGAAGGCGGCAAGAGGAGGTGAGTGGGCATCCACTCTTCCGACATGAAGTCTATGGACCACTCTTCCAGTTGCCTAGCATCTCAGTTTCAATCTTTCTAGACCTAATTCTCAACCACTCACCGGAGATAGACCTCAGCCCGGGCAGCCCCGTGAGGGTTCAGGGGGGGCTCCTCCTGACCCTCTCCCTGCTGGTGGTAGCGGAACTTATAGTGCTGGCAGCGCTGGGCCCCAGGCAGCTGCTCTGCCAGGAAGATGACAGCATCGTGATGGATGCCCAGAAGTCTCGCTCCACTCATTCCTGAGAATGGGGGGGGGGGGGGGAGGAATAAGGCAATCACATGGAGGGCCCACCTTGCCCTTACTCCCAGCATTCCTGGGGATACCTCTTACCACTAAAGGAGAGATGCCTGAGCCGCGCATGCCCTCGAGCCTCTTGTACTTTCTCAATCAGAGTTCTCCATGCCCCTGGAACGAGGGGCCAGAGCAATCAGAATGAGGTCTGAACACTTTCCCCTCTGCTACTGCTACCCCCAACTCACCCTCTAAGCTCTCTGCCTCCACACTGAAGCCATCATCACTGCTGATCTCAAAGCGCAGGTGTGGACCAGCTCGTTTTGGAACCTGGTTTTCTTTGTCCTCTGGGGATGGGGGCTCATCCTCAGAGCTTGAGGCCTCACCTGCATCCATGGGGAAGGAAAGAATAGGAGAAGACCATCTTCCTGGACTCAAAGCCACTGCTGCCAGGCTAGTAATGGACATATTTGATCACAGCACTTGGGGGGACAGAGGCAGGCGGATCTCTGTGAGTTTGAGGCCAGCCTGGTCTACAGAAAGAGTTGCAGGACAGCCAGGGCTACACAGAAAGAGGCCTTGTCTCAATTACAGGAAAGGACCCAGTGCCCCCGATTCCCAGTTGACACTAATCTCTCCCACCCCTGGGCAAGTCTTAGATGTACGAGGTGAACATTGTATCACCAATCTACTTACCCAGCTCAATATTTAGTATATGTTTATAGATATTAAAATGTATAGGCTTAGACATATACACTCAAGTACATGCTATATTTACTACAAATCAATGGTACTCAACCTACGGGTGTGACCCCTTTGGGGTTACATATTAGATATTTACATTATGATTCCACTCAGTAGTAGAATACAGTTATGAAGTAGCAATGAAATAATTTTATGGCCACCACCACATGAACTGTATTAAATGGTGGCAGCATTAGGAAGGTTGAAAACCACTGTTATAAACTACTTGAGGGACTGTCTATATTTAGTTAGTTTTGTTGACACAGGGTCTTACTACATTGTTCAAGGACCAGGTTGTCCTTGAACTCCTGAAGACACAAACTCAGAGTAGCTGGGATCATAGATGCACAACACCTTCAGTCACAAATTATAAAGATAAAGCAAACAGGATCCCAGATGTAGTGGATGTTAATTGTGACAAAGGAATGGTTAAGGGCAAGGGTTCGAGCCTGAGTCTGGGGCTTGAACACAGTAAAGGTAAGATTGCCATCAACTGTCATGGTGAGAACAGGAACACTGTGGGGTGAAAATCAAGGACTATTTGGGACATGCTAGCTTAGAGCTCTCTTGAAAATATCTCCCTGTAACTTGATAGTGGAGATGGCTAACCAGCAGGGGAGAAAGCAGGCACTCGAGTCCAGGGACGAGGCCTGGGCTATAGAAAGTAACGTGGTAGCTATCAGAACACAGACAGGAGTAAGAGCCTTCGAGTCCCAGAAAGCAGACCAGGGCAGCACACAGAGGCAAATGCCCAGGCGCTGGGACACAGACACTGAAGGTTGGAATGAGGCACGACCAGAGAGAGGGGAAAATGTGGGGTCCTGGAAGCCAGGAGAGAAGTGCTTTAATGGGGGGAGGGGGTAGAGCGCAAATGCCGCTGCAGTGACACCAAGGCCAGGCAGGGGCAGGGTCCCACACGCCCAGCCAACCAGTGCAGCCTTGGGGCCTCCCATGAGTGACACCCCTGCTCCCTGCGCTGCTCCCTCAGCACACCACGGGGACAGCACAGGGCCCTTCCCCATTACTCTTTCTCACACGGCTTCTCTGAAGTGCAGGCTGCCTGAGCTGCAGAACGGACAAGTCTGGGTCCCCAGGAACAGGAAGTGCCTATCATCATCACCATCACACTATCACACCCTCACGGCAGGTTGAAGCCTCTCAGTTAAGCACTTGGCTCTAATTTAGTGCTCCTAGCCTAACTCGGCATGCCGAGAACCCAAACACCTGGATAGGCCCGGGTCACTCCAAATACAAACCCAGCTTGCCCACCACCCTACTTGGCTGCTTCGATGAGTGACCCCAGAGACCATCAGAAACCCTCACTTGCCGTCTCACCAAGTTCAGCAGACAAAATCCAGTGGAGCAGCTACCTGTGACCCAACCTGCCAGATTTTCCTCCTACCCCAGAAGTCACCTGCTCAAAGCTGACCGCTATTCTCCCATGTCCTTTCCCTCAGCCACCACCTCCCCTCCCCTCAGCTTTGGAGTTGCAGCCCTCGTAACCTCGAGCTCTTTGACCCGCTGCTCTGCCTCCTCCTGAAGCTTAGCTCAACTTCTTGGCCAGCTGCCTGGGTGCTGCTCTGGCTTGTCACCAACCACTGTCTTCAACATCCTACCCGCCTGATGCCACCTGCCCCTGCCCCCTGCCAGTGCTGGACTCAAAGGCCTGGTCTGGCGGCTCACTGTGGCAGATAAACTGTGGACAACTCCATCCCTGGCCCGCCCCTGGAGCACCAGA